ATTTTTTTTTTTTTTTTTTTTTTTTTTTTTTTGGAACACCAACATTGTGTCTTCTACCATTATAAATCCGTAACTCCAGCTTTGATCCGTGCGTCTATGCAGATTTTGGTTTTAAATTTATAAATTATTTAATGATATTTTTGAATATATAGATTATTTGAATATTTTTAAGTTCTTACAAATTTACTTGGATTCGGAAAGATCAAACTCGAATTCGAAAAATTTAAAAAATTTGAATGAAATCTAATTTAAAAACCCAAAAATTTAATATCCAAAAATCAATTCGTACTCGAATCAATATCTAGATGTCTATATCTAAGTAATTTTGTAAACAAATAAAAAATTGTTAATCAGGTTGATTTTTTGTTACGAATGAAGTAACTTGTGAAATTATTATGGTTAACACATCAAATAAATAATATTAAATTATTGTAATAAATATAACTAATGAATTAGTTAGGACAAATGAAAAAAGGAAGATGTAACAAAACACTTTAAAATATGTAAGTTTTGTTTGCAATAAATGTTGTTGAATTAATTAGAAAACATGATAAATGAAGTAGTTATAATCTCCCTATACATTAAAAGAGAAGTCACTTTAGTGATTTCTCGACACGTGGCATTCATAGAGGGCTTCTAGGATTAATTCTCTTAATCTTATTGGTTGATTTTTTTTTAATTTATTTTCTATTTTTTAATTCAGCGCGAAGAGTAATCTGGTAACAAAACTATCGACGTTTCCAAACACTCCAAATTTGTTAATTCCTTTTAATAACTTACCTTATTTTAATATTACATACGTTGCACAAGTTGTAAATTTCTTTAATCTATTTCAATTAATTTTTAAATCTATCAAATATTATAATTCATATTAAATGTCTTACCTTATTTAAAAACTACATTACTTGCACAATAATGAAATTAAGCCAAGAATATTAATTGGTCGATCACTAATAATTTACTAACCTTACTAATAATTAATACATGTATTGATAATTTTCCTTATTAGATATTACTTGCGGAAGAATATAAATTAATAAAACATGTATTAATAAATTTCCTTATTACAAATACGGAAAACAATTAACTCTTGATATCATATCGATTACATTGTTTAGTGCGATTTATCGATTTGTATCTAATTAGGTTTTTTGTTATTATTAACTTACCTTATTAATATTGAATATACAATTTCTAATATATAGTTTCTATATACAGTTTCTCATATGATTAATCGTATAGAATATATAATATTCTCAATAATTTATTAGAGAATATTCTATTTATTAGCTTATCATGCAAGCTAAATCATTGAGAAACATCCATCAATTTACTATATATAAGACATTCACAGTATGAGAAACAAAGCCACTGAACTTTTTATGTTGATATTGTTTTTGCTATTTTACATCATTAAGCTTTTACATATACATATTTCATCAGAGCTGACTTTTCTTTTGGTTTATATGCAGCTAACCTATTATAACGATTTCACCATGATGCATGAATTTTTTTTATCTTTCTATATGATTTGATTAATCGTAGATCTATTTGAATTATAATTCTTAATTTTTTAAATATGTTATTAGGTATTATATTTCTATTTAATGATTGTTTGTTAGAGCTTAGAAGGATAAGAATGCTGTCATATGTATTTTCTATCGGTTTTTTAATTTACAATTTTAGTTTATATGCACAGACCAACGATTATGACGTTTCCTCCTGTGGATCCATATGTACTTAAATCTCTCTTCACATTCATGTTATTCAGAGACATGAACATTACAAATGATCATATCATCCAAAAAACGTAAACTACAATGTAAGTTTCATGCTTTATTACTTTCTCTATGTTTTCAAATAATTATTTGCTTATACACTAAAGAAAAAAAATCTTTAATCAATAATTTATTATAAAAGTTAGTATAACTTTTTATACATTTTATCAACTTTGTACTCAAATATGATTTTATACAATTTATCATATTATAAAATGTATATCCTATAAATTCATATATGTAAACTATATATTTCTTTTTTGTCATCTTTTTTTGTCATCATAAACTATATAAGTCTATGTCAATTATAATATAACTTTATACAATTTATCACATAATAAATTATGTATATAATTCAGAGTTAGAATATGATATGTGTAACATTTTTGTATATATTTCTAATACTAATGTTAGAATTAAATCGGTTAAATACAAATTTTTATATTAAATATAAGTGATAAAACATAATTATTATATATTTCTATAGATTTACAATATACCAAAATCAAAACTATTTATTATTCTTTAATTTTATAACCATATTATGGTATTAGGAAAGATATACTTTGTTGGTAAAGGCTTTTAATTAGTTAATTTGTTTATTAATAACTTGTCTTATTTTATTATCAATTACTTGCACAAATTGATACGATGATTACCTTATTTTGCCATCAGTTACTTGTCTTAAATGGTATGTTAATTATTGCAAATTTATGACAGACAATTTTTAATATCTTTCTTTAATTGCTTCATATTTATTAAAAGGAAACAAATATTACAAGAACCATAAGACTTTATATATCTCAAGAAATGTCTTTACAAGAATTTTTATAACAAATATTTCAGGAACTATAAGACTTAATGATAAAATATGATTATTAATTCATAATTATTCTTTAAATTTGATATATTCTGAATTTTTTGTTATATATAATTCTAAACGAAATAATATTTTTAGGAAGTATTTTTTCAAATATACATTTAATTGACAAATTTAAAAGTTAAATTTTTGTGAAAATATATGTCTATTAAGTAAATTTCTTGTTCTTTTATGATGTCATTTATTAGTAACTATATACATGTGATATTGCATTAAATGTGTATGTTCTTTATTTCCTAATTAGTTAATTCAGAAATATGATGATTACCTTATTTTGCTATCAATTATTTGCACAAATTTATATGATAATGGTGATTTGAGTAAGAAAAGCCCAAAACTATTATCTATTAGAAAACCACAAATATAATGGTGATTTGAGATTTAGAAAAGCCAAAACTATTATCTTAGTTATATTTATATATATATATAAATATGGATCTTAAAAATGTAATTTACTATATATATACATTTGTTTGTTTTTTCTATTAACAGATAAATAACACAGATGAAAGACCGTTTGTAGTTGATTACAAACTATTT